TTTTTTATGGCTTTGATTTCATTGGTTGTAATCAGTCTGTTCAGATTTTGTTTCTTCAGAATTCAGTCTTGGAAGATTATATGTTTCTAGGAATTTATCCATTTCTTCCAGATTGTCTCTAATTTGCTGGCATATAGTTGTTCATAGTATTTTTTTTAAAGGATTTTTAAAATTCATTTTTAGAGAGAAACATTGATTGGCTGTCTCCTGCAGGCCCCTTACCAACGATAGATCCCACACCTGTGTATGTGCCCTGAATGGGAACTGAACTGACCATCTTTCAGTGCATCGGATGATGCCCAACCAACTGAGTCACACCAGCCAGGGCCATAGAATTTTCTTTTAATCCTTTATATTTCTATGGTATCAGTTGTCACTTCATTCATTTCTGATTTTATTTGGGTCTTCTTTTTTTCCTTAATGAGTTCAGTTAAAGGTTTATCAATTTATATTTTCAAAGAACCAGCTCTTGGTTTCATTGATCTATTGTTTTTTTAAACTAGTTCATTTATTTCTGCTCAGGTCTTTATTATTTCCTTCTTCCTACTCACTTTGGATTTATTTTGTTCTTTTTCTGATTCCTTTAAGTGTAAGGTTAGATAGCTTATTTGAGGTTTTTCTTTTCACGAGGTAGACCTGTATTGCTATGAATTTCCTTAGAACTGCTATATCCCATAAATTTGGGGTCACTGTGTTTTCATTTGTCTCAGGGCATCCTTCTTTCTTTTTTTTCCTTGATCTTGTTAAGTAGTATTTTATTTAGCCTCTATATATTTGAGTGTGTTTTCCAGTTTTCTTCTTGTAATTGATTTCTAACTTCATACCATTGTGATCCAAGAAGATACTTGATATTATTTCAATCTTAAATTAATTGAGACATGTTTTGCATCCTAACATGTGGCCTATCCTGGAAAACATTCCATGTGCACTTGAAAAGAATGTATATTCTGCTGCTTTGGGTGAAATGATCTAAACATATTAATTAAATCCATTTGGTCTAATTTGTCATTTAAGCACTGCTTGTCGATTTTGTCTGGATGATCTATCCATTGATGTCAATAGGGTGTTAAAGTCCTCTACTATGTCTGTGTTACTATCTTTCCTTTTATGTCCACCAATATTTGCTTTATATATTTTAAGTGCCCCTACACTGGATGTGAAAATGTTTACAAGTGTTGTAGTCTCTTTTTATATTGGTCCTGTTATTATGAAATGTCCTTCTTTGTCTCTTGTTATAGCCTTGGTTTTAAAGTCTATTTTTCTAAGTATTGCTACCCAGTGTTTTGTTTTGTTTTGTTTTAACATTGCCTTTGAATGAAATGTCCTTTTCCATTTCTTTACTTTCAGTCTGCGTGTGCCATTTGATCAGAAGTGGGTTTCTCATGGGCAGCATATGTATGGGTCTTGTTTTCTTATCTTTCAGCCACCATATGTCTTTTGATTGGAGCATTTAATCCATTTACGTTTAAAGTAATTATTGATAGGTACTGTTACTGCCATTTTATTACTCATATTTTTTATCCTATCACCCCTATTTCTTAAAGAAGTCCCTCTAACATTTCTTGTATTACTAGTTTGGCAGTGATGAACTCCTTCAGTTTTTTTTTTTCTGGGAAGCTCTTTATCTGTCCTACAATTTTATTTTATTTCATTTTTTAAAAAATGGCTGCTCTGATGTTATTTTTTAAATATATTTTTCTTGATTTCAGAGAGGAAGAGAGAGGGAGATAGAAACATCAATCATGAGAGAGAATCATTGATCAGCTGTCTCCTGCACACCCCCCACTGGGGATGTAAACCTGCAATACAGGCATGTGCCCTTGACCAGAATCTAACCCAGGACCCTTCAGTCCGCAGGCCAATGCTCTATCCACTGAGCCATACCAGCTAGGGCTGTCTTACTATTTTAAATGATAGCCTTGCTGGGTAGGTCCTTGCTTTTTATCACTTTAAATATTTCATACCAATCTCTCTGGCCTGCAGAGTTTCTGTTGAGAAATCAGTTGACAGTCTTATGAGAGCTCCCTTGTATGCAACTCACTGCTCTTAAGATTCTGTTTGTCTTGAACCTTTACCATTTTAATTATAATGGTCTTTTCTTAAATCCTCACCTGAGGATATGTTTTATTAAGCTTTTTAGAGATGAAAGGGGTGGGGGGAAACAGGGAGCAACATCGATCAGTTGCCTCCCATATGGGCCTCTACTGAGAATCAAACTGGCAATCTTTTGGAGTACAGGACTCTCCAACTAAGCCACCCAGGCAAGGCTATGATGTGTCTTTATGTGGGACTCTGGGACTAATATGACTATTTCTTTCACCAGTTTAGAGAAGTTTTCAGTCATTATTTCCTCAAATAGGTTTTTAATCCCTTGCTCGCTCTCTTGTCCTTTGGTACTCCTATGATACAAATGTTATGTTTGATGTTGGCCCAGAGGTCCCTTAAACTATTCTCATTTTAAAAATTATTTTTGTATTCCAATTGGGTATTTTTTACTGTCTTCCAGATCTCTGATTCATCCCGCTGCTTTTTCTAATCTGTTGTTGATTCCCTGTAATGCATTCTTCCTATCTCCATTTTTATGTTCCATATCTCTCTTCTGAACTTCTCAATGAGTTCATCTGTTCTTTCCCTAAGCTCACTGAACATCCCTTTTACCAGTATTTTGAATTCTGCTTCTAGTAGCTTGCATGCCACCATTTCGTTTAGTTCTTTACTCGAGTCTTGTCCTATTCTTTTATTTGGTGCGTGTTTCTTTTTATTATATTAGGTCAATCTATATCTCACAGTCTTGGCAGAATTATCTTATGTAGTTGGGGCCCTTGAGATGGGTGCCGCAGAAGTGTCCCTTCTGTGTGTTGTGTGCCCTTCTGTTTTGTCTTGATTGCTGTTGGCATGTCAGTGACTATAGTGGATAAACTGCTGTGCGGGTGCTGACTCCATGTAGCAGGAGTTGCTCTAGCGGGGCTCTGGTGAGCTGAGTCTACTCTTCAGGTGTGCTTTTGTGGAGCTGGTTGGGTAGTGATGCTCTGGTTTGAAATGAAGTTGGCCAACAGGTGTCTTGGTTTGGGGTGGGGGGTGCTCCAGGGCAGGCCCATGTTAGCCATTTGTGCCCAGCTTGGGGCCATCTGGTGGGAGCTACAAAGTGATCTATGGTTGGTTGTCACTTGTGCTGGGTTTGGAGGCACTTGGAAGAGGTTATGCAGCAAACCAAGGTTGGCTGCCAATAGTGCTGGGCAGCACAATGTGAGCTGAGATCTGTGGCTGCTTAGCTTCCAAGAAAGTGGGCTTATAGTTCTGAAGTTACATATGATTTAAGGGACAGAGGTGCTGACCTATGCAGATTAAGATATAATGATTATTCTTAGTCATGTTTTCTTTCCATCTGTTCCTGGGGCTCAAACTATATACCTAATATATATTCCTGTCTAAAAGAGGGCTATTTAGAAGAAATAATGCATTGACTTAGTTATTGGTAGACTAGGATGGCCTTGAATAAAACTGCTTTTTCTACTCGGCACAAGAAAACCATGACTAATTGAAATAGATGGGCTTTTCCAAACAGAGTAGGTAATATACTCATTAGAAGTAAGTGGTAGCTATTATCCTCAAATGACAGGTGGGCTTAAGTACAGTGATTACTCCCACCTGAAATAATATATGAGTGAGAAGTGATTTTTAGATTAATCTATGAAATTCTCAAAAAAAAAGGTAATCACTAAGCCAAGTTCCTAAATGCTGTGTACTATCATTTATTCTCTAAAATATATATTACTGCAAGGAACAAAATATTAACAGTGCGAGTGATGGGCATATCATTATGTGAGTTCTCTCTTTCCATAAGTGAATTATGCTGACTTTTAAAATACCACCTGTTTAAATGGGGAGCTTAAGAAAAACCCTATTGTGCAAGGAGTAGATGAGGAGTAAAGCTCACTATGGAAGCCCATGGGGACAACGATTTTCATAAATATATAAAAAATCAAATTGTATAAAATAGTACAAAAGGCTTGCCGTTCATTTTCATTAGGGTTTCAGCACATTGCAGACAAGTGCTATGAGACTGAAGTCTTAAGGCTCAGAAAGAAACCAACAGAAGATTTCTGATTCACATTAAAATCATAATTAACCATTAGGGGAAGTTTACCTGGAAATAACTTAAAAGTGTTGAGACTTTCAAATTATAATGCTTAATGTAATTGATTTTTTAAACATGATAATTCTAACTTGGAGAAAATACCTTATTATACTGAATTACATTCAGCTAACCTAAAACGTAATTTAAAATGTCAAATACCTTTGTCTTTCAGCTTTGTATGAACTAGTAAGATCATCGAAAAGCTTGCCATTCATTTCCATTAGGGTTTTCAGCACATTGTAGACCAGTGCTACGATGGTCCTAAAACAAAAAATAAGCCAGTGCTGGGTTATTGATGCCTCTAACAAGTAATGGAACACTATCATCTCTGAAAGGAGTTAAATGTTGGCTGGTTCACTCAATCCATTTTAGAGTTGAAAAGAGGAAATGCTACAGGTCACATAGCCAGTGGTGGTAGAGATGGTCTGATTCAAAACCCTGTCCTCACCAATGTATCATGCTCAGATTAAACTCTCACTAAAAATGCTGTGGTTAGCTTCATATCAGCTCTAGAGCAGGGGTCCTCAAACTTTTTAAACAGGGGGCCAGTTCACTGTCCCTCAGACCGTTGGAGGGCCGGACTATAGTTTAAAAAAAAACTATGAACAAATTCCTATGCACACAGCGGATATCTTATTTTGAAGTAAAAAAACAAAACGGGAACAAATACAATATTTGTATTTGCATATGGCCCGAAAACCCCAAGCAGCAGCTTTAAAAGAACAGGAACCCAGCTGCTGTGGCTCAGCGGTTGAGTGCTGACCCAGAAAACAATAGGTCGCCAGTAGAGGGCGTGCAGGAGGCAGCCAGTCAATGATGTTTCTCTCTATCCCTCTCCCTTCTTCTAAAAATCAAAAACAAAACGAACATGATGTCATAGAAGTTAGAATATATGCCATGTAAGCATCACTTATATGACCTTAAGCACTTCAGCTTCTCCTTGCCATAGTGCTACCTGCAGAGATGAGAGTGTTATTAGCAGCAGGTCAACCCAACTTGGCATTTGCAGTCATTTGTGCATCTCCACAAATATTAGCTGGGTCTGACCACATACTGGTCTGGTGCAGAATGTCACACTAGAAAGTCCTACCTTCAGGGAGATTTGTAATTTTAAATTGAAATTAAGAACATACAAACACATATATTTATACCTTATAAAGGTATATACTATGTGATGTTAACCTTGGAATAAGTTCCAAATCTGGATAAGCTTTATGTATGAGTTAGGAGAGCAAATGATAAAAAGGTTAAAAAGCCAGACACTTACGGATTCCAGTGTTCCTTGGAGATTTTGTACAAACTACCAAACATAATTGGCAGAATTTTATCAATATTCTCCTCAATCAAACTGAGAATATATTCATTATTCCAGGAGTACAACGCCCTTTCTGCAACCTGAAAGAAATATTTATCAATGTCAAGAACAAAAGAGAAAAGAAATAGTATAAAATGAAAATGGCTTTGCTGAGTACATCATACCTGAAAATGAGAACTGGATACACACTTAGATATTTGCTTAAAAAGGGGCTCTTCAATTTTTTTGAACTGTGTTGGTTCAATGACATCTAAGATTTCTTCAATTTCTCCTAAAAACATCACCTAGGTTAAAAAAATTTTTTTAAGAAACATGACAAATTATATGTTAATATAGAAAACATTAAAAGAAGATTAATCTCAGTGGACAAAAAAGGACTTGACGATTATTCTATCAAGTCTCTCTAATCCCCTAGGACACCTGCTCAGTAGCAGGGACAAAAGAAACATGGTTTATATCCCTGAGAGCCAGTGTTTCAATGTATTATTTTTATTGAATCAAACCTACCTCTTTCTGGCTGCATGTTTTTGGCCAAAATTTCAGCAATCCTCTGGTCACCTGCAAAAGGAAAAGTTTAGCATGAATTAGGCAATGAAGTCAGTTAATTCCAGGAAATTTTAAGTAATTGTGATTATACCAATATTCATTCTGAAGTATTATCTAAGTGTATCTCCAGATTTTATTAATTTTGTTTACTGAATGCCTCTGTACCAGATACTGTTCATGATTTTCATGAAGCAGGGAGACCAACGTAAGTTATCAATTAGACATATAAATAATTTCAATAGCAGTAAGTGCTACTAACTACTAAGACAATAAAGGAAAATATAATAACTGCTGGGCTGAGGAGCGTAGGTTATTTTAGGGAGAAACTAAGGGACAAATAATTCTTATTTAAAACTATTATGAAGCACCAAAAAGCCAGAAAGCTCCCCAATTTATTTCATAGCATAATCTTGATAACCAAACTATAATACAAATTTTTGCAACTAAGTGAATCCAACAGCATATTAACAGAATACTATCTGGCCAATTATAATTTATTCCAGGATGGTTCAACTCATAGTTGTAGATTATATCTCAAAAAAATTTGAAGTTATTTAATATTATTCTGATAAAATTTTAGTAAGACAGAACTAAGAATTTATCAGAAACCATCAGTCATCATTATCAGAAAGCATCATACAATGCTTTCGTAGAAACCAGGCTGTAAAACTATCTGGTCCCGGTGCTTTTGTAGCTATAGATCTCTGACAGCCTTTTAGGATTTGTTATAGTTATTGATCTTGTCCAGTAATGAACACTCATTCAAATTAAAATTGGAGAGAACATAGGCTGGAGCTAATCCAGTAAGATGAAAAGGTTTTGATGAATAACTTTGGAAAGGAATATCAGAATTATATTTATTTGTCTAAGTATATGTTAATTATACATTTTTATAATTTTAAAATAACTATTCCTAAATGGTTAGAAAAAATTACTAAAATGAGTAGAAAAATTCAATATATGGTCAGATAAAAATATACCTTTATAAAACAGAGTATCAATGATAATCAAATGAAAATGCCTTTCATAACAAAAACTAATGTACAAAAAGAATACAATTGGTAAGAAATGTTTAAGATTTATACAATGAAAACTATAAAACATCATTGAATATCATGAAAGACTAAGTAGATAAGATGATTCAAGATTGTACAGATATTTCTTCTATACTTAATCTATAAATTTAATATAATTTCAAAAGCCAAATGGATTATTTTCCGAAACTAGAAACTCTTATTCTAAAAGCTATAAATGTAAGCAAATAACCATGAATGGGATGGAGGGAGGAGAGGGAAAATTAATGGAATGGAACCTGAACTACTGATATCAGCAACTGAAACAAGATGGTATTAGCATCGAAACTGACAGAAGAGACATAAAATACAGTTACAACTAGATAGACTCATGTATATATATATGGGGTTTAAATATATGACAAAGGTGGCATTTCAGTTCCATGGGAAACAGATGAATTAGTCAATTAAGTAGTAGTACCTAAGACTGGTGGCTCACCATTTAGGAAAAAAAAAAAGTAGCTCCTTTGGTAGGATGGCTCTTAAAATAATCTCCCAAGATCTTTACTTCTTGAATTCACACTCTTCTGTAATCCTTTTGTGTGGGCTGCCCTAGTGACTTCCATTCCACTAGCAGATTCTAAAGCCTTCTCATCTTGCAACTTTGGTAAAGCAAGCTGCTATATTTGGAAATGCCCACGTTGACAAGGATTTGAGGGTGGCCGGTGGCCAACAGCCAGGTAGAAACTGAGGCCCTCACTCAGTCCAACAGCACTTGAGGAACTGAATTTTCGACAAACACGTGAACTCGGAAGCAGATCCTTCCTCATCTGAGCCTTTATATATGAGGCTGGACAACACCTCAATTGCAGCCTTTCTTGTAAGAAACTCTACAGCACAGGACCCAGCTAAGTCATGCCTGAATCGTGATTCATAGAAACTATGAGATAATGTTTGTTTTAAGCCACTAAATTTTTAAATGTTATTCAGCAATAGAAAACTAATACAGTTCCTTACCCTTGTCACACAAATTTCCATTTCAGATGGTGTGTGTATGTGTACCCTAACCTCTAGAATCTATGAATGTGATTTATTTGGACATTGGATCTTTACAGATATAATTAAGAGTTCAAGTCACCCTGGGTTATTTGGGTGGGCCCTAAATCCAACAAGTGTCATTTTAAGAGAGACAGAGACAGAAGAGGCAGCAATGGGAGATTGGAGCGATGCAGCCATAAGCCATGGAAAACCTGGAGACACCAGAAACTGGAAGAGGCAAGGAACGGACTCTCCCCTAGAGCATCTGGAGGGAATGAAGCCCTGCTGACACCTTGATTTTGGACTTCTGGCCTTCAGAACTGTGAGAGAATAATTTATGTTATTTTAAGCCACCAGGTTTGTGGTAATTCGTCATGGCAGCGCTAGAAAACAATTATAGATGGGATAAAGTTTTTATAGATAAAAACTAAATCCATAAAATAACCAGAATATAATACTACAGAATATTTTGATCATCTCAAAGGGTATAAGGGTTTTTCTTAGCATGTCAGTAAGGCCAGAAGCCATAATGATGAATACATTCCATTACATAAAATTTTTTTTAGTTCTTTAAGGCAAAGTTAGTTAAAAACTATATTCAAAATTAATGAAACACTTCAAATGGACAAAAAAATATTTGCAAAATATAGGAAAAGGATAAAAAGGACACGGAAATATAAATGACCAATAACCATATAAAAGGATGGCTCAATCCCTATAATAGTGAAGAAGCCAATGAAAATATTTCATATCTATTAAACTAACAAATTTTAATATCAGCAAAATTTTAAAACTTAATATCCTGCTAGGGTGAGGGAAAACAGGCATCTAAATTGTTCAAACTCTGTGGAAGGCAACTTAGAACATGTTAAAATTTCCATGTATTCTTTGGCTAATTGGTTTAACAAATTTACTTGCAGTAAAATTTTTCTTATTTTGGTATACAGTTCTGAGGGTTTTATACACACACAGAATTTTTTTTTGTAACCAAAACCACAGACAGGACACAGCACAAATCCAACCCCCTAAAGCACCCCTTCATCCAGCAACACGACTGTAACAATGAAAACTCCCATAATTCAAGTGCCCATTAATGGGAGATTAAATATGTTAGGGTAATCCATAACGGAATCTGATGCTACCAGTGAACAAAACAATCAGGTTCATATGGAAAGATAGTACACTTCACATTATATTGAGATGAAAAAAACAACACTGTCCCACCATTTATTTAACCTACACATAAATGTACAAAAATTTTGTAGAAATATATTCACTTATAAGTGTTTACCTCCACATTGTGCTTTCTGATTTTGTATTATGTGAACCAAATTAACACACATTACTTTCATAAACAGAAATAGAATATAAAAAACTAGCCACAGCTTATTTATAATTTTTAGGAAGCTTTGATATGAATGCCAGATTTCTAGGAAATGAGTATTAAGGCTGAGACCCAAGTAACATGGTCATAATTTTGGTGCTGGAATAGCCTATGGTAGAAACTGCAAGATCTCTCATATCTACAGATCTTTATGACTTGAAACATTTTTCTTTGTCAACTTAGACATTTACATTACTATCTCCTCATTCTGCTTCTATTTCCATTAACCCAACTCATCTAAGCCAGATTTCTGGCCATCATCCATCTTTTAAAAAGAAATCATCTCCCCTAGCCACCCATGTTAATTTAATATATTTAAATTCTATCTGTTTACTTATTCACCAACATAAACCATCAGTTATGTTACAGGCTTTCTTTGTCTCAATTTTAATGAGAGTTATGGATTTGTATTAAGTTTTAATCCACTTTAGAAACTTATGTGGCTTCATGTACAGACTGGGCTTTCTAATTCTTCTGATTTGTCTTTAAAAAGTATTTTTAGCTGTTTTCAGGAATAACTGCAAGTCTAAAAACTCAAAATATAAGGGAGTGAGTGGGAAAAGCATGTTTTGTTCCTTTACACATACAAAGGTCAAATCAAAGGGAGAATACTAAATACATTAAGTTTTCCAACCACACCTAGGGATAGCAGTTTAAATCCTTGAAACCTTCTGCAATACTTCAAAAACTCTTAGTTTAAATATTCAGATTTAGGATACCTAGAAAGTACTATCAAAATTTTTAATTCACCAAGGTTTTTTATTCTTTTATACTTGCCTATTTCTTCCTACTATCTTTTGTTTGTTTTTTGAATCTTCAGTTAATTTTCATAACATTTTTATTTTCTTCTGAATCTTCATATGATAGTCAAATAGTAAGCAAAATTCAAATAGTGAATTATTATGCTGATTCATAAAGTAAACAACCTTTATTCCAAGATTATATCTTAAGCTCCAAAGGCAAGGAGATGTTTACAATCCCAATCATGTGGTTTGTCATTAATAAGAGGGAAAACCCTATTTGTAAAGACAAAACAAAACTCAAGGGAATAATTTTGGGGCTTCCACAGTATGTTTTAATTTTAAAAGGTAAATGAAGATTGAAAAGATTATCAGTGAAGATAATGTCTATATCAAATTTTAGTGTAGTCAGCTCAACTACTATGTTAATTTATATTTAAGTTATTCAAGACACATAACTCATGAGAACTCCTGTTTCTAATCCTATTCTTTGAATGTAGATTAACCTCTCATTCCTTGTCAATGATTTTAGTTTAAAGTACATTACTACTACTGTTGATAACTCTGTAAAGGTATATAACAGTATAAAGAAAGGTACAATGAAATGCTCCAATGTAGACCCAAAACATAAAAATAAATAGACCACTTACTGGTTCTGTTAGTGTTGTATCTTTCTCCAGGAACTGTACAACACAGTAGGCTAACTAAAATGGAAGGGACAGTTTATAAATATTACTGAGTGAAGTAACATTTAGTGATGCAGGGTTTTTATATTTAACTAACAAAAATGACTACCTTATTTTGATGAATTTTACTCTAGCTTAATCTCAATACTATATAAAAATTAGTATACTCACAATTGTGTAACTGTTTCACCTTGAAAGTAACTTCTGAATATGAAGTTAACTGAAATTAAGACTAGAGCTTAACATTTTACTTTTTCAGCATGTATGCCATGCTGATATATTATTCTCTAAGTAGTAATCGAGGAGACTAGGTTATTGCAGCTAAACAGAACACTGCAGTTATGTGGGATTTATTCAATACCATTTAGTTAATTAGGTCAGGGCCTAGACTAGAAAAGAGCTTGACATTTTCTTTCCTATGTCTATACTCAATATGCACTGACCTTATTTAATAACACTAAAAATAATATTTTAAATTATAAAATTTTATTTTGGTTAACTTAAAAAGCAAATTGCTTAAATACACTTAAAATTGCCATCTCAGTACTTCTCAATTTCTCTGCCTTTATATCAGTCTCTGAAACAATAATTCATTTCACTTTAAAGTTTTCTGAAGCTTACCTGAGCATGAAACAAAGCTAATCCTTTTGCAGTATGCATAGGAATAAGAACCTTCATTAGAAATTGTTTATGTTCTGCTTTCAGTGGCAATGCAAAGCCATTGATAATACTGGAGGGAAAAAAAGGCAGGGGGAAGGGTTAAGTAGTTACTACTTTATTTCTAAAAGTTATTATATCCATGCGTACATAAGGAACTGTGCTCTGCTTCAATCCTGGTGTTGAATTACTTGCTCATCTTCAAACTACTCTAGGCAGACTATTACTATGAAGTCTTTAAGTCATTCATTGATCCAAAAGTCAACTAGGACTACCAATTAATGCTCCAGTGGGGGCTTCCAAGTATGTTTTAATTTTAAAAGGTAAATGAAGATTGAAAAGATTATCAGTGAAGATAATATCTATATCAAATTTTAGTGTAGTCATCTCAACTACTATGTTAATTTAAGTTATTCAAGACACATAACTCATGAGAACTCCTGTTTCTAATCCTATTCTTTGAATGTAGATTAACCTCTCATTCCTTGTCAATGATTTTAGTTTAAAGTACATTACTACTACTGTTGATAACTCTGTAAAGGTATATAACAGTATAAAGAAAGGTACAATGAAATGCTCCAATGTAGACCCAAAACATAAAAATAAATAGACCACTTACTGGTTCTGTTAGTGTTGTATCTTTCTCCAGGAACTGTACAACACAGTAGGCTAACTAAAATGGAAGGGACAGTTTATAAATATTACTGAGTGAAGTAACATTTAGTGATGCAGGGTTTTTATATTTAACTAACAAAAATGACTACCTTATTTTGATGAATTTTACTCTAGCTTAATCTCAATACTATATAAAAATTAGTATACTCACAATTGTGTAACTGTTTCACCTTGAAAGTAACTTCTGAATATGAAGTTAACTGAAATTAAGACTAGAGCTTAACATTTTACTTTTTCAGCATGTATGCCATGCTGATATATTATTCTCTAAGTAGTTATCGAGGAGACTAGGTTATTGCAGCTAAACAGAACACTGCAGTTATGTGGGATTTATTCAATACCATTTAGTTAATTAGGTCAGGGCCTAGACTAGAAAAGAGCTTGACATTTTCTTTCCTATGTCTATACTCAATATGCACTGACCTTATTTAATAACACTAAAAATAATATTTTAAATTATAAAATTTTATTTTGGTTAACTTAAAAAGCAAATTGCTTAAATACACTTAAAATTGCCATCTCAGTACTTCTCAATTTCTCTGCCTTTATATCAGTCTCTGAAACAATAATTCATTTCACTTTAAAGTTTTCTGAAGCTTACCTGAGCATGAAACAAAGCTAATCCTTTTGCAGTATGCATAGGAATAAGAACCTTCATTCGAAATTGTTTATGTTCTGCTTTCAGTGGCAATGCAAAGCCATTGATAATACTGGAGGGAAAAAAAGGCAGGGGGAAGGGTTAAGTAGTTACTACTTTATTTCTAAAAGTTATTATATCCATGCGTACATAAGGAACTGTGCTCTGCTTCAATCCTGGTGTTGAATTACTTGCTCATCTTCAAACTACTCTAGGCAGACTATTACTATGAAGTCTTTAAGTCATTCAATGATCCAAAAGTCAACTAGGACTACCAATTAATGCTCCAGTGAGTAATTTCTATCTGCATGTCCTACATAAGCTCAGCAGTTTATGCACTGTTGCCTTTTTTTTCCCTTCCTAAAGCCAGAATCAGTATCACAATAATAAGAATTTTTAATATTTCTGAAGTAAATGGGTTGTTTCTCTTATTTTATTGAAGGATCTTAAACTAAGAAGTAATTCTCTTCATAGTCATTCTGTTAACTACTAAAGATTTTAGCTTCCTCTAGTACAAATACAGGGGTCTAAACGTTTCTCAAGTTAATAAGGAAGGCAAAGTGTTCATGTAAACTAAAAGGCTGTAGATTCTTCTAAAAAGAACAGATGGATTAGGAATGGTCTATCAACATATGAACAAGAATTCTTATAACTTCATCAAAAGATTCACTGTAGCTTATTTCATCTCTTCCCAATCAGATCCTATAAATTTCTGAGGCAGTCTGGCAAGATAAGGCATAAAACATGCCACAGCTTCAAATGCAAGAAGCCTATTCTGAAACAGATGTCTTGCATGGCAGTACTTTAAAAATGCTGACCCTCCAAAAAAAAACTATAATAAGAATTCAGTTGAGAAACGATGTCTTGCAGTCTATATTTAAATATGAATAATTTCTCTTCCCCCAGCTAAGATTTTAATACATAAAACATTCAAAGTTACTTAATTTTTAAAAAGAACAAGGAAAAAACAAAACACAAAACTGACCTACCTTCCTAATATTTCCAGGAGTTCAGCAACACCATTGAAATGTTCTGTTTCATATATAAACCTGAATTTAAAATAAAGGTAGATGTAATGAAAAACAAAATATCAGAAAACTAAGAGAAAGGCAGAAATAAAGCCCCAAGGGTAACTATAAGAACTGTACAAGAATGTTGTAAGAATTCCTTGTAAACGTTTTTGCCCCAGTTACTTCTCAGCAATCTTATAAAAGAAAGTCTACTTCCTACTAAACCAGATGCTTTAAAAAAAAACACCCTCACCCAAGGATATGTTTATTGATTTTAGAGAGAGGAAGAAGGGAGGGGGGGGGGCGGAGAGAAACATTGATTGGTCGTCTCCCTCATGTGCCCTGACAGGGAATGAAACCCACAACCTTTTAGTATGTGGGATGACACTCCAACCCCTGAGCCACCTGGCCAGAGCTAAACCAGATACTTTTAAATATTTCATATTTAAGCATATACTTTTGTTAAAACTTGCTATATGTTAAGATAATATTCTTTCACCTGGAATATTTTATTTTACTTAAAAATTTTTTGAGAAAGATGGGTTTCCTCGAGGAAATACTTTTTGAAATAGGAAAATCCAAGAGAAAAGAACCCACATATAATAAAGCCACCATTAATCAGAATTCTCTAAACCTAAACTACACAGGCTGCCTAGTTTTCCAAGAGTAAGATCACCCTTAAAGCAGGGAGGCAAATTCAAAGAAACACAGGACAGGGGGAGGATGGCACAGAACTGGAGAGAGATGCTCTGTCTGTAGTTGTTACAATGTGGAAATGCTAGCCTAATTTTGCCAGATCTTCAATTTAAAAAAAACCAAACATACCAAACCTGAAGTGTGGGTATTAAAGTGAAATCTCCTACTTTGAAACAACTAAATAGACTATCACTTATAAAGTAGCCAAAAAATAGATCCCATATAAATTTAATTACCTGTATCAGAAAATCAAATGAAAGTACTTCCAAGAGCTACTGATTTAAATAGTTCTTAAAAGTTTTTCAAACAAAAAACTCAAGGAAATAATTAGACAAATTCTCCTCACAATAAATCTTACATGTGAATAACATTAGTATTACCTATTAAAAACTTCACTACTATTATCCACATAGATGAAAAGTAGGTTATAAATTTCTACAAAGTTAGAGGCAATCAAATGATGTCCACAAAATGGGCTAAAAATGACTCAAATACTAGCAGTTAAATTTCCAAATTTCAGATGTTAAAAGTTAACCTAAAGCAACTGGAATAAAAAGAAAAATATGAAAGGGGATAAAAAGTACTATATATGAATATATGACCAATTTACCTGAGGAAAATGTTGTTAATTTGTTTTCTGATGAATGCTCTTAATCCAAGAAATTTCCCATAAATTCGGTGCAGAACAGTCTTCAGGAAGTCATGTTCTCTGGGATCTTCACTATCAAAAAGTTCCAGGAGCTTTAAAAAAAAGCTGAGAAATTACTTTTTAAAAATAATCAAGCTAAAACTTCACTTTATTCTAATACTGATTTTAGATAACCTTTTTTTTAAATTTAAAGATTCTGCCTTATCATATTGGTTTTAGTCTTGCTAACTAGTGAAGCTAAAGAAAAGCTTAGGGAGAATTTCTCTTCACTTATTTCATTACAAAAAACGACACAATAAATAATATAAACACTTCAAAAAGTGCACTTTTTTTGCCCTGCCACTCATTTTAAAATTCTATCCCACTCTTGACTACTAAACATGGCCCATAACTTTATAGTGTTGAAATTTAAGAGTTTTCAAAAAGTGATAGTCAAAATTACATACAAAAATGTTAAAGCTTGTAGATTGCAAGTCATTAAATAAATGAAGTTAAAATACATGTGCACATGTGTATTTTCGATTTACTAAAAAGATTCACACAAACCAAGGCTTTTCTTGTGTGTGATTTGACACAAAAAATTTTAAGAGTCACCATGCCAACAGCTCAAAAATTAGTATTTAGTTAATAGGGTAAATTATTGTAGATATATGCTAACAGTGTGGAAATCATTCATGAAATAACACTGTAAAGGTAAGACCACAGATTTTGATTTAAAGTCAGCTAAGCAGCCCTGCCAGGTGGTTCAGTTGGTTGGAGCATCATCCCATACACCAAAAAAGGTTATGGTTTGATTCTGGGTCAGGGCACATACCCAGAGTGTATACGGGAGGCAACCAATTGATGTTTCTTTCTTATATCGATGTTTCACTCTCTCCCTCTCTCTCTAAAATGGCTGGAAAAGTTTTAAGCCAGTTCAAATTGGCCAAATCATCATTTTCCTATACCTTTACACAACTCTTTAGCAAAGGTAGAATAAAGGAGATCTTCAAAAAAAGTCAAAAGCTCACATTTTTAAAGTGGTAAAGAAACTGAATTTCTTCTGCCAAAAAACATATTACTGTATTTTAAATGTAGCTGGAGTTTCTTAGGAAAAATTATAATCTCTCTTGAAGAATGAAGTTGTCAAGGAATTTTATGTTCTGCACTTAAGTATTGATAATTACAGTTAAGATAGCAAGCTCTGAACCTCATTGGAAGTTCTTTTTCTATTCTGTCCTGAATTACATGTAATTGTGTACATATGTAACTCTTCTACAGAGTATTTTTTTGTGGATAGTGATGCCTTTTGTCGTGTTTATATTCCCCTAAACAAATGTCTACTTAGTTTGCACTCTTTGTTCACCAGCTTATGAAAGTACTGTATGAGGCTCCAGTAAAACCATCTTTGGAACATGAGAATTTATGTTAATAAACCTAATAAATTCAGCTCAAATTATTCTTAATTAAAAATGACTAAACTGCCCTAACCAGTTTGGCTCAGTGGATAGAGCGTCGGCCTGCGGACTGAAGGGTCCCAGGTTGGATTCCGGTCAAGGGCATGTACCTTGGTTGCGGGCATATCCCCAGTAGGGGGTGTGCAGGAGGCAGCTGATTGATGTTTCTCTCTCATCGATGTTTCTAACTCCCTATTCCTCTCCATTCCTCTCTGTAAAAATCAATAAAATATATATTTTTTAAAAAATGACTAAACTGCTCACTTAACACACTTACATGCAAGTTTTTGATGATGGGTTACTTGGAAAATATGCTTTCAAATTAATAAAAGGTGGTCATGCCTAATTCAAGTTGATCCTTGGGGAAAATATTTAACTAGAGCGCAGTTGTTAGCTAAGTGTCAAATCTATTTAAAGAAACCTATTTTGAAATATTATAATCTAAATAAATTTATTGAGATAATATGAACACGATGAAACACACAAAACTAGTACTCAGGAAACTTTCTTATTCTGGCACTGATACTTTTATTTAACTGTGCTTATAAGAGTAATTTATAACCCATGAGCCTATTTCTTCACTGATAAAATGAGAAGGATTGAAACCAATTTTTTTGTTTTGTTTTTTTTAAGAAAAGGTCAGAGGTCAGAGAGTGTACTTCAAATCCTGATTGTGCCATCTACTGACTGAAACTGGACATAGTCAAGCTCTTTATATATATAGCTTGGCACATAAAATGTACTCAATAATTCTTACCGTCCTTCTTTCTTCTGAAACTCTATGATTTGAACATAACCTGAAACTACACAATTATTTTCTTCTCTTGAAAAAATGAATTGTCCAAATTTATACCTTAGATTCTAAGACTTAATATTTATCACCTAATCAAATAATTTCAAAATGCAAAAGCAGAGAATCCCCATACATACTATGTAATAAAACAACACACTAAGAATACCTCAGTGACGTGATCTGTGAAAGCAGTCATACAAACTGCTAGAAAACAAATGACTGGGCCTTGGCTTCTCAGCTAATTCAGGCATTTAGAGTTAAGGTGGAAAATGGGTCCCACTATACTAGTTTATATTCTTGTTCCCCTTAAAATCTATTGAATAATCCAGCAACTAAAATGCCTCAAGCTCCAGACTGAGGAAACACTAAGGCATTTGTTCCTCTCAATCTGCTATTATTTTAAATACAATTTAATATGGCATTACTAGAGTTCCTTATTATACTACTAGAGCTATGGGACCTAGAGTCAAGTTCCCACCCACCACCGGCACACACTTCAAAAACGCAGGAGACCCAGACCCAGCCTGCCCCACCCCTGTCAAGCCCCTCCAGGTGGGGGGCACAGCCTCAGGTCCCCCGGCCCAGCGCTGGAGTGCAGGGCATGGTCTGAGGTCCCCCGTCAAGCCCCACTGGGCGGGGGGTGTGACCTGAGGTCCCCTGTCAAGCCCTGTGGGTGGGGGGCACGGCCTGAGGTCTCCCATCAAGCCCCGCCAGGCGAGTGGCACAGCTTGAGGTCTCCCGGCCTGGCGCTGGGGTGGGGGGCGTGGCCTGAGGTCCCTCACCCCAGCCAGGCGCCATGCAGCCTCAGGTCCCTTCTGCTGTTCAGTTGTGACGCTATGGTGTCCTGGCTAATTTGCAAATTCCTCTTATATAGACAGATACTAGAGGCCCAGTGCATGCATTTGTGCACCTGTGGGGTCCCTCAGCCTGGCCTGCACCCTCTCGCAATCCAGGACCCTTTGGGGGATGTTGGACTGCCGGTTTTGGCCTGATCCTCGCAGGCCAGCCCAGCCTGCAGGGATCAGGCCGAAACCGGCAGTCCGACATCCCGAGGGATGTAGTATGTGCGAGAAGTGGCAGGCAGCCAGGGAGGAGTCTGAGCCCAAGCTGGGTGCTGCACCGCTCCCGCTCATCCCATCCCCACTGTGCCTGCCACCGCCGCTGTTTGGTAGTCCTGCCGCGGAGGCAGAAGAGGTTTGTACTGCTGCAGCTATGCTTGCCAGCCATGAGCCTGGCATCTGGCGCCCGTTGGTCAGCTGAGCGGCGCTCCTGCTGTGGG